CCACCACCTGGCCCCCCATCCCCAAGGGTTCTGACCAACGGAGCCCCACCTGCTCCTCATGCACCGTCTGGGGGCCCAGGAGCCTCACCCGGAACAAACTTGCCCACAAGCCTTGTTTGTATCTTAAATACAAACCCGCAACGGATGGCCCCGGGGGAGGAGCCGACAGGGTCACTGGTCGCTCTTTTTTTTTTTTTTTAATATTTTTTTTTAGTCTTTTTCCATTTTTTGCAGTCGGCGCCCTGAGCCCACGTGGCCGAATCTCGGGGTGTCTTACGTGAGATCCCCCCTACCCCCCAGCTGACTTACCTCCAGATTATATTTTCCTTCGGCTAATGTCAAAATTGGTTCGGTTACTTGATCAATATTTGGGCAATGGGATGTGGGGGAGGGGCAGCCAGGACCGTTAGCTGGGAGGGGGCCCAGGGTACCCAGGGAAGCGGGCCTCCGGGATGGCAAAGCGAAGAGGCCAATGGTTCTTCCTGAACAGGGTGAGGACTCGGGTCCGGTGTGGGGACCCCCCAAAGCCACAGAGCAATTCACCGGCACCCATGCACCCCTCCCCTCCTCTCCTGCTCTCTGCTTTCCTTTCAGGACGCGCACTCATTCTATGGGTAAGGCTGTGCCAGGGATTCTAGCAATCGGTCCTTCCAGCACTCATTCTATAAACAAGCGGGGAGGAGACACCCTGGGGGAGGGCACGCGGCTCTCACACCCCCTGTCACCCTGGGGGTGGTGTCCCCGTCCTCGCCCCCCGGGACCTGCGCCCGCACCCACCTGCCCAGAGAGGTCGCACTCCTGGTCGAAGTCCATGTACTCATCCTCCTTGCTGTACATGCCCAGCCCGATCTTGAGCGGCTTCTGGTTCTCGTCCAGCCGGAACTTCAGTTTGCACAGGCTGTCGAAGAGCTTGGCCAGGTGGCGGCTCACCTGGGCGGGTGGGGGTGGGGGGGACATGGGGGGTCACGCAGCCCACGGTCCTCGGCGGTTGGGAGCACCTTTCTTTGGTGTTGGTGTTTACTCCCCATTCCCTGGCCAACGTTCACTCAACTCGCTCAGGGGACAGCAGAGCTGCTCCGGGCAGGGGCCTGGGGCAGGGGCCTGGGGCCAGGGCCTGGGGCCGGGGCCTGGGGCAGACGCAGGGTCTGTCCCGAGATTTCTCTTCCCTGAGAAGCTCTGGCCCAGCCACGAGGACTGTTTCCCTGTCACACGCTCAGACCTGACATCTGGGGCCACCACCCTGTGTCTCCCTCCGGGGTGCGTCCCACAGCTTAACGGCTAAAATAAAATACAGGGGTGGGCAAAAGGAGGGTTACACCGTGAGTGTCCGGGACACAGGACTTATTCTTGTGCTTATACAAACTACTGTGGCCCCGCCTCTGCTGTCCCCCATCTAGTGGCTCCCCCACCCCCCTTTCAGAAGAGCCTGGGCAACCTTTCCTTCCCTCCCGGGACCCGGGCTTTATTGGGGGAGAGGGGTGGTGGGGAGGCCACCTAGCGAGTGAGCATCTCAGAAAAGAGTCTCGCTCGGCTCCCGGCATCCAACCCACTTTCCGGATGAGGAAATCGAGGCCCAGGAGGTAAAAGGCAGGGTCCACAGCGAGTCTCCGGTCTTGGTGCCACGGCCGGGCCCCGGGCGGTTTCTGGAGTGGCCGGCCTGGCGGAGGGGAGGCAGGGACA